AACTGGGTGGATAGCCGATAGTGCTGGAGGTAAATCTAACTCATACGCAACCTTGCCAATTGCCCTTAAAATTTCAAAAGGGCCTATATACCTGGGGTTAAGCTTGCCTCGCCTCCCAAATCTCATCACGCCCTTCATGGGAAATACTTGGAGAAATACCTGGTCACCAATTGCAAACCTCAACGCCGACGCCTATGATCCGCGTAACTCTAACGTCTACTCTGAGTCGTCCTGAGCCTATCCTGAATCACCCTCACCTGATCCATAACACATGCCCGCAACATATCCGTAAGGACCTGAATAGTATGCTCCGACTGGCCATCAGTTTGTGGGTGAAATGATGTGCTAAGGTGGAAACGGGTGCCAAACTCCTCCTGAAAAGCTCTACAAAAGCTGGAAGTGAACTGTGAACCTCGGTCTGAAATAATAGAAACAGGCGCGCCATGAAGACAAACCACCTTCCGAATGTAGATACGAGCCAACCTCTCGGAACTAAATCTAGTATGAATAGGAAGGAAGTGTGTTGACTTGGTCAATCGATCCACGATTACCCAAGTGTTGTCAATACCTCTAGAAGTCTGAGGTAACCCCACAATGAAGTCCATAGTGATACACTCCCACTTGTACTCCGGAATGGGTAATCTCTGGAACTCACCATCAGGCCTCAAATGCTCGGTCTTCACCTACTAGCAACAAAAACAACGGGATACGTAGTCGGCAATATCTCTTATCATACCGCTCCACCAATAAAGCTACCTCAAATCACGAAACATCTTAGTTGTGCCCGGATGGATAGAATATCTGGAATCATGAGCCTCGCTCAAGATCAACTAAATCAAACCCCCAGCTCTCGGAACACACAACCGACCATCGAATCTCAAAACCCCATCCGAATCTAAGGTAGCATGTCTAGCATCACCTGCCAACACCCTATCTTTGAGTGCCACCAAAGACTCATCCTCGAACTGATGACCACGGATCTGATCTAGCAAAGGTGACTGAACTCCCACATAGTCTAACACCCATCTGGAATCTGAAATATCAAGTCTGATCATCCGGTTAGCTAAGGACTGGATGTCTAAATCCAACGGTCGCTCCGAAACAGAAAGGAAGGCCAGACTACCCATACTCCCCGTCTTTCAGCTCAAGGCGTCCGCTACTATATTCGCCTTTCCCGAATGATAAAGAATAGAGAGGTCATAATCCTTCAGGAGCTCAATACAACGATGTTGCCTCGAATTAAGGTCCTCTGTCTCATAAGGTATTAGAGGCTCCGGTGATCAGTGTAAATCTCACAACGAACCCCATATAGATAGTGCCTCCAAATCTTAAGCGCGAAAACTACCGCCGCCAACTCCAAGTCAGAGGTGGGGTAGTTGCGCTCATGCTTCTTAAGCTGCCTCGACGCGTAAGCTATAACCCAGCCTCCCTGCATCAATACACAACCCAAACCAACACCGGATGCGTCACAATATACCGTGAAGCCCTCACCCTCAACTAGAAGAGTCAATATAAGAGCGATAGTAAGAAACTCATTGAGCTTCCGAAAGATCATCTCACACTCCTCTGACCACACAAAGGGAACATCCTGGTGAGTCAACCGAGTCAAAGGGGCTATAATAGTACTAAAGCCTTCAACAAAGTGTCTGTAGTAACTCGCTAACCCGACGAAGCTATGAACCACAGTAACAGAAGTAGGTCTGTCCCAATCATGAATAGCCTCAATCTTCGCCAGATCAACCATAATACCATCTTTGGAAACCACGTGCCCCAAGAATGTTACAAACTCAAGCCAAAACTCAAACTTTGAGAACTTGGCATAAAGCCGTTGATCTCTCAAAGTCTGGAGCACTATCCTCAAATGCTGCTCATACTCACTTCGACTCCGCGAGTATACCAGTATGTCATCAATGAAGATGATAACAAATGAATCAAGGTATGGCTTAAACACATATGGCATCAAGTCCATGAAGGCGGCAGGGGAATTAGTCAATCCAAAATACATCAAAAGGAACTCATAGTGGCCCTAACGAGTCCTAAATGCGGTCATAGGGATGTCCGTTGCCATAATCCTCAGTTGATGGTACCCGGACCTCAAATCAATTTTAGAAAACATGGCAGCACCCTGAAGCTAATCAAACAAGTCATCAATACAAGGCATACGGTAACGGTTCTTCACCGTCACCTTGTTCAGCTGTCTATAGTCAATGCACATCCTCATAGTCCCATCCTTCTTCTTCACAAACAGAATAGGAGCACCTCACGGTGACATACTCGGAAGGATGAACCCCTTACCTAAGAGGTCCTCTAACTGAACATTGAGCTCCCTGAGATCTGTAGGATCCATCCGGTAAGGCGGAATAGAAATAGGACAGGTGTTGGGCTCCAAATCTATGGCAAAATCAATGTCACACTGTAGTGGTAGGCCAGGTAGGTCAGTAGGGAACACATCTGCATACTCTCTAACCACAGGAACTAAGTCAACTGAAGGATCGTCCCTACTCACATCTCGCACATAGGACAAATAAGCTAAACACCCAGAAGCAACCAACCGTCTAGCCCGCATAAAAGAGATGATCCCCATCGGTGTGTCACTATAAGCACCATGCCACAACACCGGGGGAATGACAGGCATGTCTATGTGTAACAACCTGTTCCCGTCGTTACAGAAAATGCAATGGGAAAATATTTTGGGTCGGAAACCTTTTTCATAGTAACTTGGGATTTTCCAACCTAGTCCAGATTTGGACAAAATCAGAGTCATTAAGGTATAGGGAAATCTGGTAACAATCGGGTGACTTAATTATAATTTTTATTACATGAGTGGTTAGATAAGTCATTAAGAAATATGTACCACTTTACGGAATTGAATTCGGGTGAGTAAAACTGCCGAAATTGATCTTAGCGTGAACGATATTTTCTGAGCGTCGTTTGTAAAAGGTATGTTGTGAAATGGGGGTCTTGGAATTAATAAAATAGCTCACTAGTTCCATGCAAGCCGCTGGGGTGGGATTTCTGCCGCCAGGGCGGGACCGCTATAGCGGGGTGAGGACCGCTGTGGCAGGTCCGACGCGACTTAAGGTCGTAAATAAACCCCAAAACGTATTTATTCTGCACTTTTCAATTATTAGAACTAAGGAACATACCCAAGCAATTCTTGACAATTTTCCACCATTCTTGAGACTAAAGGTAATATTTTAACTCCCCGAATCCATTTATCGATCTGTAGAACGTAATCTAATAGGTAATTATCAATGGGGAAGGGTTTTGATCTAGCATATATAGTGGAAAAAATCCTAAATTGGGTATTAGGATCTTGGGTTTGGTCTAGGGTTATTGGGTTTGTTATAATTTGGATAATTAGACCTTTGATTGTTGATCCTTTTACTAATTGTATATTTTTAGCCCACGAACAAGCGGGAAGAATCCGGAAAGGAAGATTCAAGTGTCTTAGGGGATTCAAGCTTAGATTCGATGTAGGTAATGGTAGTGATTTCATGTTGGTGTGATATATGTTTGTAATTGCTCATTATAATGCATGTATGTTTGCGAATGTTGCATTATTAATCACCCTAATCGTAAATGGGGATAATTGAATAATTGTATGTCATGAATCACCTCTTGTTGT